TTTGACTTTGCATTACTCACGTATTTTTCCATACTATAAATTTTGTCCCTACTCGGGTTTTTACCACAGCCATAGGGTTTGTGAGACTTACTTTCTTATGCAAGTTCCTACCTTATTTGAGAATAGTGTGTTCCCAAAATCAGTGCCGACGAGTCGACTTCCTTAACCTCTGCATGATGCCGAATCTACTTGAGTATTTACACACTCAAGGGGGAATGTTATAAACTTCTTATTTAAGTGTGATTATGTAAATCCTAGATTAGATTTTATTCTAGTTATTCTTTCCTAGTACTATAAATAAAGGCACGTATAGGGAATAACACATTCTCTACACAACCCTACAAACACATATGTCTCTATATTTTCTCTATGTCGCCGGCCCCTCTCCTATGTTAGTTAAATATAGGCCACAACACTTTGTGTGTGTGTGTATATATATATATATATATTTTATGACTGTGCCCTACCCAACTCCCCTATTCCTTGCCGTTTCTTTTTCTCTTCCCTGCACAACCTCATTCCTAGCCTTCGTAACCCAGCTTCTCCATCCCTCCCTCCCCCACCAATTCGAAACCCCAAGTGTGTTGTTGACATTTCTGAGCTCTGGGGATAGAGGTACTGCTCGGATCAGCAAGTTGCAGGAGTTCAGAGGGGAAGAAAGGGGCCAAGATTTGCTTGCTTCTACTTCTAAGGCACAACAAGTTCGAAGCTTGGTGTTGACTTCGACCTTGGTTTGATGACGAGACTCCACAAATCGAACGGGCAGTGACCTCAACCTAGGTTCGATGTCGACGATTTTATATGGGTTTCGTAGGCTGACATACAGGTGGTGCGGCTAGAGGGAAGCTGATACTTGCGAGTTATGCAATTTAAAGGTTATGACTGCAAGTTACAGCTTGGGTAAGCAGCGGCTGCGATTTGATTTTTTTGAGGAATCCATCATTTTTCATGTAATTTTCAAAAGCTATTGAGAAGAATAGAAAAAGCTCTCAGATTTCCTTTTGATTCGAGAAGAAAGGTCGGCTTCAGAGGGCTGTAACTCTAATCCTACAATGGAAAAGAGAGAAACAAACAATCGAGAAAGACTCTCCAAAAGTGTCACTTTCTCTCTCTAAACTTCTTGATTGATGGAAACAGAGATTGGGGTTTTGGGGCAAAATGACAGAATTGCTAACAAGGCTTTGAAGATATCTGTGAGGAGATTTGATTTTGCAAAGTGTAAGATGGAATGGAAAGAAGAGTGAGGCACGAGGGATGCTACGAAGATTTTCTGGAAAAGCCAAAATGAAGGTTTTGGGTTCTTGGTTTTGTAGATTCCGTGGTGGAATGAGGGAGGTTGTGAGGATTTCACGGTAGAGAGTGATGGGTGCCATGGGTTGTAGCTTCAGTGGTTCGGCGTTCCTCCATTTTTTTAGGGTGTGAAAATACTTGGGATTTGATTGTTTAACTGTGCTTTTGTTTATAATATACTTAAGTTGCATACCAATAATTATATAATATGTAATAGGGATCTTGTGGAAAGAACGGCGAGTTGCCAAGGCACATTGTAGCACATGCCAAAAGGAAAATAAAAATGTATGTTGACACACTTTCGTAGCTCAGTTGGCTTATGTATGAATGTTTTGAAGGGTATGAAGTTTATGTTGATTGACATGAGTGATGTTCATGACATGCATGTTGTTTATGAATGTTTTGCTATGCATGAAAGAATCCATTGTTTGGATATGTCTGCTTAGTTTCACTTACTTGGTGTTGAAGTACGTATGCTGAAGCTCTAAGTTAGAGTATAGAGGTAGGTCAGAGTTAGACCAAGTGTTCCAGTGTTAGGAATGCAAAAGACTACGAAGTTGTCTGAATTGCTTCTTCATTAAATATTTGTTGAATGGTTTGTGTTACAAAGGATGCTAAACGGTTAAAGGTCAAAACATTTGTAATGCATATGCCTTTCTATGATAGCCTTTTCTTCAGTACCCAATCATCCGGTTTGAAAAAATGATGCTTGACCCCATGGTCATAACAGTTGAAGGTACATTCACCCATGATTGTCTTGATATGAACCTTTATTCCTCTTATTGTAATAGGCTTGCTGAGAGTAAAAAATTTTCTTCTTGCCAAAAGGCGAATAAGCTTGGTCACTTTGTAGGTTGCTAAGTGGGACAAAAGAGGATGCAATAAGTGTATGGATGGCCAAAACTTTCTCATTTGGTAGAACTTGACATTCGGTCCCCACCTGTTGATAGGGATTTACCATATAATGGTTCCCTTGGTATGTCTTTACCTTGGCAAAGGCATGATTATAAGCTTGCGTCATCACCTCAGAGTAAGTCTTCTAAGTGTTAGCATTGATCATGTACTTGAAGAAGCATTCACGCATGCCTACCGCGAAGGCCCTGAGTGTTGTTTTGTCATCTGCCTCAGCGCAACGAGATTACTCGTGGTTAAAGCAACCGTCATATTCACGCAATGACTTCTCTAATTTCTAACAAATGGTGTATAACTCATCAATGAAATGTAAGCAATCAGCTTGGAAGATGCGTTGAGCGACAAATAGTCTACTTAGCTCATTGAAAAAATCTACCATATCATGTTGAAGATGGCAATACCAATGAAGAGCTCCATTAGAGAAAATGAAAGGGAAAATAAGACATCATTCCTCGTCACTGTATTTTCGGTATGTCATGGTGGATTCAAAGGGGTGGATATGTTCAATTGGATCTTCCCTCCCAGTATACAATTGCAAGCCAAGCTTCTGTTTCATTTTTCTTTGTAGAGGGATGCAAAAGATCCTCCTTGTTAGAGGGCTTGGCCTTGGCTGTTTCCAGTCAGGTATATTGGCCTGACACTCGGCCTTCACCTTGTTCACTTCCTTAAAGAGCGGTAGGAAAAGGGGGTCTTGGGTGAAGTTAGGCACTATTGAAGCTATCTTTTGTAAGTTTACATCATTTCTTGAAAGTAGGGAAGATCTGTCAAGGACATGTGGCCTTTCCTTGGACTCAACATACTGGCTGTCAAAATGTGCCTATTAAAAGTCCCCCAAGTCTCATACGCATTTTTGTTGCCCCAAGGTTTGTTGTTCATTTCCTAGATTGAGGGCAGGCCTGGGTTGCGGTAAGGGAACAAGTCATTCGATAATCATTGGGCCATTGATCATTGAGCCTATGTGGATAGGTTTTTGTCGACACCTCCTTAAGAAGTCTCAACAATCACGGTAAACAACTTTTTACCCTTCCATTCTTTTTTGCAAATAGATGTCTTCATTCAATTATCTTGCTTTGATTTGAAATAGCTGGGTTAAGAAAAGTGTTATGTTGATCAATATCTTGGTGAGTAGCTTGCTCCTTATTAGGAATATCCATGTTGAAGACAGGTGACCCTTCGTGTTGGAGGACACCCAGGTGATGGTTGACATCTACAGATGCAATGAGCTCGTGTGATTGGGTTTGCCTAGTCTCTTGGAGTATCTCGAAAAGCTTTTCATACTGCTCTTGAATGATCTCATTCTTCATTGTTATCTTGTTGTTCTGAGCCTCCAGCGCTTCGACCTTAGTCTGAAGAGCAAACTTCTTTCGTTTCTTCCTTCGTTGCCTTACACTAGGCACGAGGGGAATGTCGTTATGTGTGTTGTGGCTTCCTTCGCTCCCTATGTTAGAGAGGGGTGCCTGATCAAATGAGAGTGTATGAATGATGAAAACCAGCTTAACAAAACTAGAGAGAGTAGGAATAAGCGTCGCTTCCCACAGACAGCGCCAAATAAAATCAGTGAATATTATAGAACAATATAAAGTGTCAAGTTTGTGACCTTCGCTCGGTTGCTTCGGTCACCTAGTAATGATAATATGTAAATAGATAGAGATAGGAAAGCAAACATAAGATGTACGTGATTTACCGTAAGTCTGGCTACATCCACGGAGTAGAGGAGTTCTCATTAATAGTGCAGGGTTTACACAAATACATAAGTTTAAGCATAATCATCATTAGTGGGTTATAAAGACTAGTTTAAGTACAATAATGACATTAGAGATTAATTGTAGGAAAATGGTCTTCTTTTATAGTTGAGGAGAGTCTCCAGATTTTGTCTGTGGTCGATGTATGACTCTATGAGTTTTATTCTGACGTTGACATATGTCGTGCTATTATTGGCCTCTTGGGTGGAGGGAAACTCTTGTGCTTCGGCAAAGGTGCCTCAACATGAACTTCTCAGTGGGCCCTTAAAAGTATGAAGTTGGCCGGTGCTAAATAGTTTTGGGATTGGGCAAGTATGGTACAAACAAGAATTTACAAAAGAAATATAAAAACCCAAAAAAATACATTGGAGCCCTGCTCCCTTCTACTTCATCTTCTCCATTTACCATTTCAATTGCAGTTGTAGATTGAGATAGGGTTCTGAGATTTGGGATCCTATCAGGACTCATCGTCGGAGTTCACGTTGTTGATCGGTGAAGATGTTGGGGTGCAATTTTTCAGCAATGGCTGAGTAGTTATGTGGACATGAAAATACAATATTACCTTGCATTTTAATAGACCTTCAACAAAAATCTTGAGATTGGCCAAAAAACAAAAAAAAAAAAAAAAATTTGTTTTGGGCTAAAATGACAAACAGTCTTAATAACATGAGTTTAATTTCTAATTTTTTCACCATAAGGTCATCATGCAAGTACCGTATGACCACAAGAATGATTAATCCAATTTGGCCTTATAAAATAAAGTGAAATAAATTAAAATACTATTTAATATAAAATTAAAATAAACTAATAACATAAAAAAGAGAGAACAAGAACGAAACTAGGAGAAGTCCAAGTATGTATTATTCTCAGAATAGTGTTAGAGAGGCTAAAATTTTAAACTAAATTTTGTAAACCAAATAATGTGATTATTTATAATTAAATTAATATTTAAATATTGATTAACATGCTTATTTTCTATTATGATAAATTATTAAGTTCGAAAATTCCTAGCAGTATATTCTCCTTGTTTAACTGAGAGAGTGACAAAGCACAAATTTCTTACGGTATGCAAAACATCTAACTATCGCCACTAACCTGCACATGATGGCAAACCCAACAAGCTGGGAAATAGGGGATCGATAAGGTTTGTTATACATATATGTACACTCTCTTTCTCAGCGTTTTTGGCATTTCTGCTTGTCCGGGATCTAGGTGTGTATTTTCCCTTCGATTTATTTTATTTTCAATTGCTTAATTTGACATTAGAAACAACTAGGCTATGCTACTATTTTGCTTCTACGAGTTGCCTAGTCTGTATTTGCTAAAATTTTCGCATAAAACACTGAATTTGTAACGAAATTGCAAAATTAGCTTCTGGGTATTACTAAAATGGCGTTATGATCTGTAACTTAGTATATAATTTGTGATGTGGTTCCTGGAATGCATTTTTTTTTCTCATGGCCACCACCTGTATGATGAAAGTCCTTTATGGAGTGCATGATAGAAAACCATCATGGAGTCGGAACAAAATAAATAATAAATAAAAATAAAAGAGTCAGTGCCATTGATCAATTGAATGCTATATTCAACTGTTTTAGTTTAATAGAGAATGGAGTAATTGGAGCTAACGGAAGACATGTTGCAAAACCGAGTGCAGTGACATTCTAGGATTTATACAGCCGACCCATTTAGTGGGATAATGCTTGGTTGTTGTTGTTGTATAGATAGAATAACATGAAAACAAGTATGAACAATGATGACAGTTTTTTTATTTTGTTTGTCTCCTGTTCAATTTGGGGATTGGATTTATGGTGAAGTATCGAAGCTGGGTTCATCCGTATCATGTCCGTATGGAACTATGGATATGAACTATAGTATATCTGTGATCAGTCTTGCAAGACGTATACATTAGTGTTTGAGTCTTCGGTTGGATTTATTGTGCGTATTTTGAAGAGGTTGTTATGCAGAACATTGTTTTGTTTTTCTAATTCAAAACTTGGAATTTCCCTTTGTATTGGTATTTGGTTGCATCTGGAAATCAGTTTCTTATACGAGTCGGCAGAAGCAACATAGGTAAAAAATTGCTATAATCTTTTGAAGTTCTTCTCAAAAGAAAATCCGGTGCCAAACAAAAGAAGACGCAATGGGACCCTCCAGTGCACCAAGGCGGCTTTCTGGGATGCAGAAGCAAGTACTAAGTCTATACAGAGGGTTTCTGAGGGCAGCCCGCACAAAATCTGCTGAAGACCGGCAGCGGATTGAGTCACTTGTATCAATTGAGTTCCGCCGCAATGCAAAGGAAGTAGACCGCAAAAATTTCCTCTACATTGAGTACTTGCTGCGACGTGGTAAGAAACAGCTTGATCAGCTCAGGAGCCCCGATATTGTTGGATTATCAGCTACAAATGTCAGTTTCTCTCAAACGAAGGATCCTACACACTGAAGTAAGAGTTTCATCTGTTCTTATTTATTTGTTGAGCCAAATGTAGGTAATGGAGGAAAAGGAATATTTGGCTGAAAGTTCTTATCGTATGCTAGTTAGAAAACTCCAAATTATGCAACCTGTATCGATTATCTTCCAAATAATGATGATACTTGATTCCTTGTAATCGCCCTAGTTCTGTTGTTTGTGTTGCTTATTATCAATAAATCTTCGTTCTTCGACTTTTGGATTCGTTTATGGTAAAATGGAATTAAAGTGCAAAAAGGATCGGAATATGATTTAGTTGTGCAGGATATCCGACTTCGATAGTAAAGATCATACGAAGAGGAGCCCCTGGGGCTAGCTCAAGCGGTGAAGAATAGTAAAGCACGTAATGAGTTAGGTTTAGGTAGATTAGAGGTTTTGGTTCCTTCTAATGTAACCAAAAAAAATGAAAAACAACGAATGTGACTCCCCTTTGCCCCCAGCTTAAATACTGAAGGACGCAAGACCTAGCAAACAAAACGAGGTACCGAAAAACACTAAGCATCAAACATTAACCATGACAGTAGCAGAGACGAGAGGGACCTGTGTGCCTCAATTCAAAAGATGAACCTCCTTCACTACTCGTTTTCAGTGGCAAGCGATGAAGAAGTTCTTCAAATAAATGCCCTACGGTCACCTCCTCCCTACCTTCGAATGGTTATTTTATCTTAAACTGGCTCGAGGGACTACGAAAACACTACTTTAGACGACAACATTAATTTGTTAAGAAAATAGATGCAGAACTTTGAATACGGATTCGCTTCAAAATTTGCAAAACCTTAACTTGACTCTGTTTTAGTAATTATTAAAGATGAAAGATGCAACATGATCCCTAATCGTACCTGTTTCTTGCCCGATAGCTTGTAAAAGCAAGATGTATTTAGTATACGATGGCTTCAACTGCAAAATAATATATGTCACCATCTTACGGTAACGAGTTGGTTATCAATATCCACTTTGTAGTGAGTTTTGTTCTGGACACTAATTTGATTCTTGCCTGATAGCCAGACTGATGCTCGAGCAATATCATATCGACCACTAAAAGTGAGGATGGTCGTTGACATGGTGCTCACTGCTCAAGCGATTTCTCGTTTGATCGAGGGCCGTATAATTCTCTCATGTTTCCTTATATTTCAAGCAAGTAAAGAACCCATCTGTTTTCCAAATTCAGTAAATGAAAATTATAAACAAGCTGATAATGTTGAACTCATAAAGATGTATTTAATGGAGAAAATCAAGGCAGCACCACGGATGGTGAGTTTGAGTGAGTACTAAAAAGTCCCTTTAAGAGGAAATTAATTTCAGAATATTATTCAAGTTTTACACGAAAAAAAGTAGAAAGATCAAAATTATTTGAAGTGATACATATATTGGGCGTTAAGGAATGCCAAATTTGAAATAAAAGAAGCTCTACATATAGCTCTTACTGTCCCAAAACTTCTGATTGCTATTTCCTCCTATCCAATAATAAATTTACTCTGTGATCTTTACAAGAGACTGTACCGTCGCTGACTAATTACGTCAAAGAAAAATCTACAAGGACATATAACTTTGTTCATAACTAAGCACCTCATCAGACCAGCATATAACTAATTTCAAAGCTCTGCGTGCTTCCCTCCGATTAGTGCATTGCCGCGGATTGCATACTTGTCGAAGATTAGATATAGAATCGAAACTAAAGATGTTCATTCATATATTACTGTGGTGGCCAGTGGCTAGACCTTTCCATCAGATGAAGGGAGATTTCTAGTAGCTTCCAAGGCCTTGGAAGAAGATTTTGTCGCCGAGTTCGTGCCTTTGGAGGGAGACGACGCTGGAGTTGGTAGCTTCTTCGGCAGCATCTGATCCCAATTAGGCAACCTTGATGCTTCTGAGAGAACAATGAATGCAAAAACAAGAGCGAAGAGCAAGCACTTTTGGCTCCAAGAAGTTGACATTTTGTTGAGAATTTGGAATAATACCGTGGAAACTGACAGGCGCTGCTGCTTTAACTTGCAAAGATGGAAGTTGCAGCTTTAGAAGTACTGGTGGCAGCGGACATGTTGAGTAATGTATGGAGACTGCCAACTCGTGTTGCTCGAGGAAAGGGTGGCAATGGCAGACAATGGGGCATTTGATTATTCTAAAATCTGTTTGAAGCAGCTCATGTGGTTGCTCTCTTTGTGTAGAATCTGTTCGAGTGAAAAGGTACATTTTTAGGGATCTTTTTTATTTTTAAATTTATTATATCCTTGGACCCTCCTTTGTTGGGTATAAAATTTAATTTTTCCATGTCTGGTAACAAATTCTTGTTGTCAGAGTTGTTCATAGTGGTATAATTAGTAATGCCACTTGTACAATTTGTGACCTAACAATAAAATAAGTTCACCAAACTTTGCTTTGCAGAATTTTGTGTATGAGAAGCTGAGACGCTTTGTGAACTTTTCCGACCTTGTAAGATGGATTGCTGGTGGCAAATGTGGATTGTTGTGGCTTTGCCACCAGCTGATCATCTTTTTACAACAAAAACAACAATTAAGCCTTATCTCATTAAATGGGATCAATACGAGTCCTCTTTTCAAAGAAAAAAAAAACCTTTACAAAATTTTATGTGTCCCCATATAATATATTTGCACCAGTGCACACATACTGTATATAGGTAGGGTGGAGATTTCCATTCTTTTTCTTTAAAATGATGATAATAGATTAGGCGAGTCAAACTACGTGTAAGGCTTAGTTGTCGAACTACAATAGTAAAAACTTTACTCTTTAAACCGGCACAAACTTTTTAAGCCTACGGTCGAGAAAACCCAACATAAAATTATAGCATTATTATTTATTGTTAGTATTGAATTTCAATCATGCAAGCACGAGGGGAGAGTTTGCCTTTTCCTTTTTTTGAGATTACTCACAGCAAAACAAACAAGCCTAGCTATTTAAAAGTTGATGAGAAAAATTCTAAAGGAGTTCAAAGGAAGCATCTCGACACTTTTTGTATGCTATTTTGCCAACAAAAGAAATAGTTTTACAACAAAAAGTAATGGCCATCAGTGGTGTCAGTGAGATATTAGTATATTTTTATGAAAAGAGTTGTGATTAGAGCACAACATTTTCCTAGTTATAGAGGTGCATCCCTTAGTTCAGAAGTGAATTCATTCCGACAAGCACAGAAGACATGATTAAATTAAGGAGGCAGATTCTCTGTCTTTTCACTTTTCATACATTTTCGTGTTCTTTTATTTTGTGTGATCACGATTAAGCCATGTCAACATTTTATATTTTTTTTATGGAGATAATAAGATAAAAAAGAATACTAATATAAAATGTTGACGTGGCTTAACTGTGACCACACAAATAAGAGGGCACGGAAGGACAGAGAATCTGCCTCCTTAAATTAATCAACTGTGTAGGGTTAAAAGTTGGAATAATGATTTCGATTTCGACAGTAAAAAATTTTAATCCGAAAAATTGGAACAAAAATTGGTATGCATATCATCCGAACTTTTTCCAAGTGTTTTAAATTTATTCCGATAAAATAACTTTCCGAAATATTCTTATTTTTTTATAGTTGTTTTCTCAATTATATATTTTGTAATCAATTTTTGTATTTTATTATTAATTTTGGATCCAATTTGTTCATTATTTTTATGTTATACATACGCTTACGTATTAAAAAGCATAAGCATATATACTAGTATACCACAAATTAATTGAATTTATACATAAGCATACACCAAATATTAAGAAAAGTGTACAACAAGTTGCATGTATAAAAAATTAGAGGATATTCAAAAACTTATAAAATATATGAATTTCTTAATTATATTACAAAATCTCCTAGATTACTCTGAATTTGAAATTTCCAAATATGCCAAAAATTTCGAATTTAAAAATTGTGGTCTAATCCGATTTGATTCTAAAATTTTGAAACGGAAATTGGAAACATTGTTTCGAATCAGATCCTTCCAAAAAACACCTCTCAAACTTAAGTAAAAAAGAATTAAGTCCTGGCTGACTACTAATATGATTTAATAGTCTTCATTTTCACTTGCAATATACGATTTAGATACAATTATGTCAATGACGAGTTCAATATCACATTATTATGAAAAAAAAAAAAAACAAAGTCCTGGCTTCCTTACAAACTTCCATTTTGATACTACGACATATATGTTTTTGTATAATTATAAATTATACCAAATTAGCTCATCGGTTCATGTCACAATAACGCAGAGACTATAACATAAAAATTCAATATTTGTAATGAATAGATGTTCAAAACAAACACTTGTAAACGGCAGCCGTCTACAATTATTCACAGTGCTAGTCTGTCACTGAGCAGTCTATGATTAATCTTACCACAAACGAAATGAGTGAATGATTACAAAGGATCGAATGCATTTTCCTTGTGATATTTACTAACAAACTTTCTGAGCATTCGATATAGCTAGTTAAGTCCGCACAGAGAAGAGAACCATTCCCTATATAAAAGAAATTTTCAGCGAATGTGTGTCTGAGAGTTATAAAATCGTAAAAGTTGGAAGAATGTCGGGTGAAAGATAATCTTTAAATTTATGCGGGCTCTTTGGGACAAGAGGAGTTGGAAGGAGATGGGCACTGCACTCTATCTCAAAGTGGTAGGGTCAGTTCTCACTCAAAATACTGAACCATGTCTCACTGGTCAATATTTTTAACAGTCATATGTCATATTCTATTTTTAATATAGTCATATGTCAGATTTTACTCTGATGTTGAACTTGAGTGCAGAAGAGAAACATACTGGTTTAATCAGTTTGACTACTTATGTCTACATTTCTAAGAATTATAAACTGATACGATGGAAAAGATAATTTCTCATTTATTGGAAAAACATATATACAAAGTTAGTAGCCGTATTGGCTTGCAGCGCGAGTCTAGAAGATGGACCTACATGGTACGGGCAAACTTTTATCGTCGTGTTTCGTGTCAATGATACAATGACATATATAAGTTTCTCTCCACTTAACATTATCGATGAAAGGCCATGATAACGATGCACTCATGATATATAATTAAATTGTTTTCCAAGTCTAGTTGGTTTTTGCAATTTTAGTACCTCATCTCTATAATGTGTTTATAAGATGAATTACTTAAGAAGAAAATTTATCCATTCCAATCCTCCCCAAAATGTTAAGATTAAAATGGAGAAGTTTCCTGCACGTATAATCCCATTCTAATCCACTCAAGAAAAAAAATCATTTTCCTCTATCTTTAATACGCCTTGAATTTAGAGAGTGATCCATTCCAATCTAATCCTCTATACCACGCAGCAACGTTCTTTTAACTAAAATGACGTTCAAAAAATGATATACCGTATTTCGAACATATCGTATCCATGATAATATACCCAAAAGACAGCAACTTCAGCAGTAGTAGTAGTAAGAAAAGAGCAGTAACATGTCAAAAGACTACAATACTGGGTTTGAGTATTTCACTTCCATTTATACTCAGAATATCAAGATACAAAAATTGTAAGCCAAATATCCCCTCTTTTCAACAGGGAATAAGTTCACTTAGTAAAGAAAAGGAGGAGCTTTTGGGGGATTCTGAAGCTGAAAGAATATAAATTACGTGAAATTTACACATTAACGGATTAATTTAGTTTATAGATACTTGATCCTTATACGTTAATGGATAAGCAAACAAAAGAATACTTAATGGCCATAATGCCAGTATCGATTAAGCCTTAGGCCGTCAAAGATGCAGATTAAAGCATTTAAGCAATGGCTGACAGAATTGTTTCCTTCTCTGCAGGCCGCCAAAACGTCTTCTGAATGTACAGCAAACCCTCATTGTCTTTCGAGTAAGTAAATCGGATGTCCCATTGCAGAGATTTAGCCATACTCTCAATCTCATTTAAGGTTTCAGCGTTGTCCCATACAATTAGTTTCCCTTCTGGCCTCAGTATCCTATCAACTTCTGCAATCACTGCCACTAAGCTGCATCTGTAGCCAGAACAATACCATATTGAATCAGAGGAAATGTTGGGGGAATTTCTTGCGATTTAAAACTGCAGTAAATGTCTTTTTTACAAGTAACAAAACGGAAATGTTGTATACGTACCTTTTCTTAAGGACAGAGAAGAGATGATCTGCGTGTAAAAGATCATAAGATCTGGGGTAGGTACTGAACGATTCACACCAATCATGATAAATCCCAATTAAACCGCGCTCATAGATTATTGGAAGCGTGTCACGAGAGTCAACTGGGACTACATTCATAACCCAAACTTTTAAGTCTTTTAGAGCTGCAGCAAACCTACAAGCCGTTGTGAAAGAAAAGTCAGGCTATGTGAAAGATTCCAACATTCGTCACTGCACTGGAAAGGAAAAGCATTTCGCACAAGAGAAATAAGAATCACAAACAGTAGCCAAAAGGAGATGATTATTTTTCTAACAAAGAATATGACACACAACTCCAACTGATCTGAATTTTTCAACCATGTATTTGCATCTAAGGACATATCCGTCAGAATTTTTCACCTTCAGATACCAAGATGTTGGAAATACAAATAATCAACAGTGAAAAAGGAGGAAGAAAATAGAAGGCGGGTAACTGGGCGATTTACTCTTCGAGAGAATTAGAGACGGTGATGCTGTCATAAGGAAAAAGGAAAGTTAAAGATTAATAATTGCTTACCCTCCGTATACAGCTCTCATGTCCATGACATTCCTTACAGTAGACCAATTGATTCCCATCCCATTCAAATAGGTCTCTGAAACAACTTTTTTCCAATGCTTGTAGTCAGAAATGAAATCTCCTTGGGCAGATTTCCCATCAACATCAAGTAGAGACTTTAACCAGTATGGTGGTTTCTGCAACCTTGATGGCCATTGTGGAGGCCACTGAGATCCACGGTCTAATACACCCTCCGGGACTTTGTGCATGCATGCCTCCAATGTTACATTCCTGATGGAGAAATATAAAGAACACTTAACAATGTTGGAAATTTAAGGTACTTCAATAATGTAAAATATTTTCTGAACCATCACATTTGATGGTGTTTAGCAGACCAATTTAGTGTAAGGACGAACTTGAAAAATCTAATGACATCAATTTCCAATTATTTTCGTTCAAACGGAACTTATCACCTCAGATTTTATTAGCAACTCAAAAAGTATGAGAAGAGGAGATACTATCATTTAAAGTTCTTTCAGTTCAACACTTGTGGTCAATCTTGCAATGGCAAATACAAATTAAAGCTTTGAAATTTATGCATCTCAAGTTCACAGCACGTGAAGAATTTTCTGCACTACAAAATCCTCCCATTAGTCAACCTAAAAGTTTTTCTGATTATTTTGGATCCTTCTTTTATGCCACTTCCAATTTCTGTACTAGAGGCCACCAGTAACAAACATAAATAAATGCCAATGCTTAAACATTTAGATAAAAAGGTGAAGTACCAGCCAGCATTTGGATCATCAGATTCACTGCAGAGAGGAGGGTCATTGCGTGATCTTTTATTGTAGCACTCATTGGTAGAGGGTTTTCTATATATGGCAGCAGCCACTCCATTGAGTTTGTCCTTTTTAATTACCACTAGATCCCAGCACATTGACTTTGTTAACTTCGACATAGCTGTCAATAAATAACATGAGGAGAAAGAATGTTAGATAGAAGCAACCAAAATACAAGATGCTTCAAGGGCAAACAATGTAGTAGGAAGTATTCTACCTTTCCAAATGCCAACATCTTCAGGAAGCTTTTGGTAAACTGGAGTAGCAGACCAGACAAAGTAACCACCAGGTCGCAAGACACGATTAAGCTCCAAGAGCAATTTACCCCCTGCAATGGAACTCAAATTATATCTCTACAAATATGTAGGGACTAAAACAACGCATGTATGTGTGTGTGTGTGTGTGTCTATATATAGGCTCCATTTTTCAAAAGAAATGGGGACATCCTCCTGACCGTTAGATTTGGCTTTAATGAAATTATGTGGTTGAGATTAAATCACAGGCCACAGAATCTCAACCACAAAATTTCATTAAAGCCAAATCTAACGGTCAAGAGGGGATCCCTTCCCTTAAAGGCTTCCTCTATATATATATATGTATATGTATGTATGTATGTATGTATAAAATATAATATATATATATATATATATATATATATATATATATAGTGAAAACATTACCTTCAATATGCCAAGGGACTCTACACCGTGCACAGTGGATAAGATCAAACACAGAACTTGGGTAGGGTAGTCTTTTGGTACCCATAACAGCTGATATGGCAGGGATTCCCCGTTCTAGTGCAAATTGTACTTGGGCTTCGTGCTCATCCTTGGGAGCAAATGACATAGCAAGAACATCTCTTTCAAATAGAAATCCTCCAAAGCTAGCTACACCACACCCAACATCCAATATCACACGGCTTCTTTTACCCCATGCGATATCAGGCAGAGACTGCATAGCCATAACAAAATATACACTTTACACGCTGAAATATTCAAAAATAAAAAAAAATAAAAAAAACCTTCACCAACAAATAATGCTATTTTTTATAATATTGAAAATTTGGAGCAATAAGATAATAATTCTGAATATTAGAGTATACTCAGTAAAAGAACAACAAAAAGAGAGATGAAATCAGCTGGGAACTGCATCCCAAAGAACAGGAATTCATGCTATCCATGGGAGAATGAAGACAATGAGATGGAAACGATGCATTGATGAAGATATGAAATTAGATGGAACTGCATTGCATAAAATTCAAACCCACTATTAGGTAATGGAATAAAGAAAAACCATGTATATCTTCCTTTAATAGCTTTTGGCTGAATGTTACTATATTATAGAAAGTACGGATTTCATAAAACTTCTATAGCATTCAACATACGCAACTTAATGTGAGGACAGGACATGGCAAAATAAGATGATGTATCAAGAGGACTCACTTTTTGAATAAAATCAATGTAATGAAGAGCGCCATTTATAAACTGAGTTCCACCACCAGGAAATGTGAGGTATTCACCGGTAACCTTAACCCAATTTTGGTGCCCTTTAACTTCTGCGAGCTTCGTGTGAGGGACATTGTGGTACCATATCTGCATCATGAACCAAGAACATATTTCAATTTCAAGGATTAAAAAAGGTAACCATTTCTGTTCCACTAGACAGATGGTATACCTTGCCCCTGCTTGTGGGCCACTGAATGGGTCGTTTATATCCTTCTGGTAGGGGAACAAGACAGGTGGGGGCTTCATCAGGGCAGTGCCTCTCTCGGTGTTCATAGTGGCCTCTACCTGGAAGCTTTTTGATAGATCCCCAATTGTCAAGACAAGGGATGTAGTCTGGCCCAGCCGTGACATCACAGACTTTCCACTTCCATTCATTCTGCGACTCCACAACTTGAGTTGTCCCTTGCTCATTTTCAGCTGTAGTTTCCTGGCTTTCTGTGTTACCACTGGTATTACTTTCTCCCTGATCTTTCTCAACCTTTTCCGTCTCAGTCTGAATATTAGCTTCCTCTTCCTGCTTTACTTCATCAGAAGTCTCCTCTCCAGATGTCTTTGTACCTGAACTCTCTTCCACCTCCGTTCTTCCAGCTTCGGAATTGGACTCCCCATCTCCTGAACTAGCTTCTTGATCAGTTATTTCCTCTGTCTTTTTTCCCTCTTCAATCGAAGGTTTCTCATCAGATCTCTCTTCCATAAGCTTCTCTTGCTGATTTCCCTCACCACCATTGTCACTTTCTGGCTCGGTCTTCTCCTCAGATCCCTCCTTGAAACCACTTCTTCCTGTTTTTCTTCCGTTGTATTCACAGACCCATCCTCAACATTTTGGTCATTCTTAATATCCAAATGGCTTTCACTCTGCAAACCACTGTCATTTTCATCCTCTTTTGCTACAGTTCCCGATAGTTCCCCCGAACTGTCTTCAAATTGCTTTGAATTTTTTTGAGTTATAACTTGCCGTTTACGTCATCCATGGTCTCCTCAGATGATGACCCTTGATTCTGAATCGGAACAACTGTTGACATCAACATCCAGACCCCAATTAAACAAAACGCTACAAAAACAACCAGACTAGTCTTTGAACAACAATTCGATGACTTCCTTCCATCAACTCGAGAATACTTCCCCACAGCCATCGTTTCGATGTGAAGATCGATATCCCAAGTTATTAAATCACCTGAAAAGGGCAATAACAAAACAGACTCAGCTACCAATGTTATTTCTGTTCTCAAAGATTGTTTCTTGAAGGTGATATCATTTTCTCAAGGACATTGAATAAGTAACTGATATAGCAAATTGGATCTTCCAAAGAAACCAGATCCATCAATTAACAAAAAAACCCAGAAAAATCTGAACTTTTTTCTGTTGGATTTCAACAAGAACATCCCCAAACAAATTAGTTCTTTAGAAAAAAGTGAATATAACCTATTTTTCAGCATAAAAAAAAAACCCAACAAACAGAAATGAAAGGGTGAGTCAATAATAAGAACAACGCATTGTTTGGTTGGTGAGAAAGTGCAGGAAAATAAACGCAAACTGATACAAACTCTATACTGGGAATATTCAAAAGCAACAAACTTGATTGTCTTTGCATGTCGTTGCTTTTATTCATCAGAAAAACGAAAGTACTTGGATCATTAAAACAACCAAAACAAAGATCTGATCAAATAATGATAAGCAATATAATACATGAGAAGATTTAGAGTGAGAATTTTCTTACTTGGGTCACTGCGTGATTGAAGAAGTGTAGGGTCTTGCTGCTTCTCACTCCATTACTATCTTGTGGAGAGAGAGAGGGAGAGAGAGCTGGTCGGTCACTCAGTGTGGGGGTGTCTCTCAGATTTATAATTGAAGCTGTCCTCTTCTCTCCTACAACTATTTCATTTCAATTGTCTTTCACCATCACCATTATTGTTAAGTAAAGGAAGAAAATATCAGAGTGAGGAATGGATGGGAGAGAAAGGAAGGAGATCTACTTGTATTTCTATAGGTATTTTTATGGGATCCGGGAATTCCAGCTAAGGATAAGTTGTAAAAAGCAATGGTCGTCAATAAAGTCCAATGCGCAGCGTACTAAACAGCAAGAGAGATTTATGCAAAGGACGGTGATCCACCCGAAAAAAATTCAAAAAAGAAGAAATCTTTTCAATGGGTGTCAGTCAGGGAGACTAACTTGCACAAAATGAGTTTATCCGCATTGTGGTGTGTAAGTCACTAACATAACGTTATGTGACGAGAGTTTTACACACTACGGGGCCGTTTGTTTGCCCTCACTAAGTTGGACTGTACTGGACTGGACTAGCTATTAGTCCAATACTGTGTTTGTTCCATGCTGGAACTAACATTAATGAGACTAAAGGGGACTAGCATGGACAAAACCCTTCACTAAGAGGTCTTAGCGAGACCCCCCAATAACCATGGGACTAGCTAAGACTATCCTCTCTTTCTCATCCTCGTCATGCTCAACGACCACTCCCGACAGACTCCTCATCATCTCCGGTTACCTAGATCAATCATTAACTTTCCGACTCCCTTTCAGATCCATTTCACAACCAACTTTCATATAAAATATACCAAATTGAAGCTGAGAGTGACAAGATTACGATTTTACCTGAATAGAGGCCAAAATGTGGTCCAATGTGGCCAGAAAATGGCCTGGAAGTCTCGGCCTGTTTGGGCTTCTTCAAATCCATGATAGATTCGAGCATTCAAAGCTAAGATCTCGGTCTGGGGATGGTGATGAATTTTTTGGCGGTGCTAACTTCATCCAATTTAACGAGGGTTGGCCGGAAAACACATCGGGAAACCTGCAACTCGTCGAAAAAATTGGAGCCGTAAGGTTCCATTCGAACAACACATAGCTAGAGAGGGAGGGAGGACAGAGAAATAGACACTGGAATCAATAAGGAGTTTGACTAGGAATGAGAAAGAGACATGAATTGAGAGGTCTAAGAGGAAAAAAAGAGGGAGAGGGTGGGACGATGAGAGAAGAGGAAAAGAGTGGGACGTAAATGGTAGGAAAAGATGAAGAAAAAGATAAGATCATAATAAAATATTAATAATTTATATATTAAATAATATAATATAATATTAGAATTTGTTATTATCCAGCTTCTTAGTCCAACACTGCACTAAACGCTTCATTAAGTTAGTCCAGTTTAGTCTAGTCTAAGCCAGTCCAGCTTATACTTGTATTAGTGGTTTCGAATGTCATAACATGTTTTACTTAAGTTCTTCTCTTGTTCTACTTAAGTTCTTTGTTTGCTCCTTTTCTCTTCATGGATTTGGTGAATAGAATTTCTGTAGTTCCCAAAGTTGAAACCCTCTAAATTTCCAGGTTGAGATGTGAAGAGGAGATGGAAGTCTACAAGAAGTTTTGATGCTAGTGAAAACTTCCTCTAGGGCCGGCTATATAGAGAGGAAAGAGAGAGTATGCCTCCAAATTCCTCCTCATCTTGGTTTTGAAAATACAGTTGATATATTTGTACACATGATTAGGTTTTGATAGGTCTCATATCATTTTTCATTTATTCAGACCAATTTGGAAAGTGGACCCTATAGACATTACTATATCGTTAATTCATCATTATCTTTAAATTAATTGCTCTACCGACACAGGATTCTTCACATTATGAAGGATTGTCATGCATTTTATGTAAAGAGATTAAAAAATGCAAGAAAAGAAAAAAAAGAAAAATTGAGGTAATTTACAACATACTATCCTACACTAGAGGGGGTGAGGGAGTACCGCCGAGTAGGCTACTTACATTGAATCAATCATAACAATATGGTTCTACTTCGTCTTTAGCAAGTATTGAACATAACATTTCTCACTTACAAATGAAGAATAATACAATTACATCATAATAATAAGTGGCAATAATATGAAATATTTAAATAATTTAGAATATTAAAACTTGTTTGGGACTGCTTGTCACCCTCCAAACCTAGGGTAGGTGAAAATTACCGAATCAAAACTGTGACTAATAATAGCCATTCAGTATTACGGTCTAGTGATATTCCTCTTCACTTGGAAGTGAGAGGTCTTAAGTTTAAATCTTGTGGATGGCGATTTCGATACCAAATTAGGTTACCCATTGTGTGGTTTAGCCGAACTCCCCTTCTTCTTAATGTAAAAATGTATTGATGTCCTTAAAAAATAAATAAATAAAATTGTGACTAAAAATAAAAATTATTAAATTAGATAGAACGAGAAGAAAGGTGGGAGTGAAAATAATATATATGTCTTAGAATAATTAAGGTTTTCTTCTTACAAACGAAATGCTAAAATTTCAATCTCTAATAACCTAAACCAAGAACTACAGTTCAACACCACAAAAATTTAGACAATGGTCAACTTATCCAACCCAGAATCACGATTTAGATCTTGGAATATTGGGCTATATTTTGACACAAGATCAAACACTCCCAGCCCATTGCTGAACCGACTTGCCAAAAAATTGGACGCAATGTGGAACAATTCACGTCGGAACAAGGGTGTTTTACGCACCCCCTTTGCCCTCCCCTCCTCTTGTTACGTTTTGTGACTTTCCTTACAAGTGTGGATGTGGAGGCTTTGTTTCTGTGTGGATGGATTTTGCACAAAATTCTCAGATCTAGTTTATGGTTCACGTACACTTTTTCTTTTGGGGCGACGGGTTTCTTTTGCGGCGGTAGCAGCAACAGCGGCGATCATTTGGATGATGAAGATTAGGGTTTTTGTTGTCCTTCTATTATTGTTTCCTACGGGCCTACAAATGTACGGGTCTCCCTTGGGTTTTGGGTTGTTGTTTTACTTTGGTGGAGTATATTTTATCTTATATGTCTTGCTTTGCTTTATGTAAAGCTTTGTGTTTTGTTTGGAGATAGCACATCTTTCACAAATTGTAATTTTCCTTACATTAAGTGCTATTTCGAATATAAAAAAATAAAATATGTATGGTGACTATTTGTTTATATTTAAATGGTGGAGATCGGTCTAGCTAATGTAAGCTGTTAGAAGAGTTCGTTTGAAAGTTACAGCTATAGACATAGTTTGTTCGAATGCTCAACAGCTACGAATACTTAGGACTCTTTTGCTGTATAAATAGCTTTAGAATCTCTTTTCTCTTGACTAGCACCTTGGTAAGTTGGTTGACTTTGGGGACTAGCACCTTGGTAAGTTTAGACATGAAAGCATTGTCAATTTTGTCGGTGCATGCTTTGGGGACTAGCACCTTGGTAAGTTGGTTGACTCTGGCCATGCCAGAGAAGAAATATCAGGAGCCACATGACCTTTGAGGCAGGAACACAGCCATGGATGCCTCCTGAGTTATTCAGCTCTTAGTGCCGATAACGTTACCCTAAAACAAAATAAATAAATGAACAATCAATAAATTTGTGACTTGTCTTCCTCAATTTTTTTTTTTTAAATTAAACAAATTTTTAGAAACGCCAGAAAATAAGAGGGGAAAGTTCAATTCACCCTATTTTTATTTTATTCAGTGAAGAAGAAAGGGTATTAAAAATAGTTGCTTAGAGGAATTTTGAAATAACATTGGTATCATAATTCTCACAAGAAAATTATAACACATACTAGTATTTATATGAAATAAAGAATTTAATTCCACATGTTCTACAATTAAGATATTTATTGTAATAATGACAAAAATCAATATATAATTAGATCTGACAATTTATTACACGACTTGTTAATCCGACATAAATTTAACAGGTTTCGTATCAACCTAGTAACGGATTGAGTCGTTATTAGGTCACCTTTTAGGATAACGGGTCTGACATGACATGATCCATTAAAATAACAAGTATGACATAAAAGCGACACGAACAAGACAAAGATGAGCCGTTTGCCAAATCTACTCATTAGCCCTGACAATTTATTAACCCATTAACCCGACACGATACTACAGTAAAGTAACACGTTCCAGGCCAACTTGTTAACAAAATTGGTTGTAATATGGTCACTGGTTAAGAACCTGTTAAGATAATAGGTATGACACAACACAAATTGTTAAGATAACGGGTATGAATTATCACACACGTTTTTTTTATTTTTATTTTTTTTTAATAAATAATATTATCTACCTTAAGAAGGAAGAGGGGGTGAGCCAAGTCTCATAATAGGTTAGCAATAATTTGATTCATGTTCGTTTTTTGTGAGAATCGAACCTAAAAACCTCTCATTTACGAGTAAAGAAGAATATCACTAGACCGTAGTACTAAGTAGGGGTGGGCACGGTTCGGTTTGATGCGGTTTTGAGTGAAACCGCAACCAAAATAGAAACTTTTTCCGATGTAGTTTTGAAGCCAAAAACCAAAATGAAACAAACCATTTGGTTTGGTTTGGTGCCATTTCAAACGGTTTCAGTTTGATTTTAGAAGAAAAAATAATTTACAATTAAAAATTTATACCTATCTACGCATAACACGGTCTCATTTTTCACACAATACATTAATTAATCAACCCACATGAGAATTCTTTTCTTTACTGTACATTTGATCACAGCAAGAAAATGGTTTGGGAGAATGATATATAAACAACTAGCTTAGCCTAACTAGCTAATTGCACAAATGACAGACTCTGTGACTGAGCAGGAAAAAGCACCCAAATGGAGTGATGTGGCTTATTATTTGATCAGAGATTGGTCTTTGTATCTCTCATTTTGTGACTAACTCTTATTTGATGCTCATTGTTTCTTTTTGAGTTTTCATTTGCATTGCTGATTAGCCATCATTCTGAACTTGAAAATTAGGATTCTGAGGTTCTTTTACTGGTAATAAAATGTTCATCTTTTCCTGTAAAGAAACAGTGAAGATGCCTAGCTTGATGAGGGTTATAATGGGAAAAATAATCAAGCTTGATGAGGGTTATAACTTTGGGAAAAATAATCATTATTATGAAATTTACACACTAGATCTAGACTCTAACAAACCACCAATTAAAACACGACATCTAATTTGAGGTGCGGTTTGGTTTCGATGCAGTCTTCAAAAGCCAAAACCGAAACCAAACCGTTTCAAAACCACAAAACCGAGCCATTCGTGCTGTCCGATTTGGTTCATGTGTTTGGGTTTCAGTTTTGGGTTTCAAGTGCCCACCCCTAGCACTGAGTGGCTTATCACACAAGTTTTCGGATGCACAGGGTCTGAGCAAGAAGTACAGACAGA